CAACTTCTTCATATCCCTCCACTGGAATGTAACCTCAATGAAGGCAAGAACATATTCTATTTGGTTTATTGCTGATTCCCTACCATATAGAGTAGTGCCTGGCGTACAGTGAAGCCTCAAAAACATTTTTTAAATGAATGAATTAAAAAGGTAGAATGTTACAAAATAATTTTAGAGACTCAAGAGTTCTCTGAGAAGAGATTCAAGGCAAGAGCAACCAATTTTGCCTCGAGTGGAAAAGTGCTCATGAAATTATGGTAGGCGATTCGCTTCTGGGAAACAGTTTCATAGGCTTTAAAAAAATACTATCTTTAGGATAGTAGATATCATTTTTGACTCTTTTATATCTAGCATTCAGAAGCAGAAAATTTTAGGCCTCAGGTAATAGAACTTAAACCCAACAATTTACAGAACACTGTACTTGGCTTATTTTCCAGTTATATACTACTGTTATATATCTATAACAATATCTACTATAATGCATAGCTACTGTTGAAAAGATAACATCCAGGATAATTATTTAAGTTAAACATCACCCTTTTAGAAACAAATTTTAACTCAAGTAAGAGGGCAAGATAAAGTTGATTTGAATTCATCATTATTCAATTTCCCCTGTTAAAAAAGGAAACCTTTTTTTTTTTTGACACATCTTTTTATTTGTGAACATTTAATCTTTAGCTTTATAGAATAATATGTTTTAAAGACAATTAACCTTCAACAGATCGAAGGAGTAGGCTGTATATGACATCTTATGTTTTGAGTTCTCTATATTTTCCCAAGGCCTTCCTTATAATCTTACGAGCTCATTTATCCTGATAATAAAAATGAGAAAAGTGAGAAAAGGTCTTTTAATGGAGCAAAAAGATGAAAGTAATCATAGACTGGCCTTCTACAGCTAGAATGATTTTTACTTCTACTTTTACAAGTGAAAATTAATACTACATATGAAAATTGTAAGATTTTAAAAATAATTATTTTTTGCACATAGATGAAAAAGCTGACTTTCAAACAGTACTTGTTTTAAGTTTAAAAAAAAAATTACACTCATTTGCCCTTCTCCCTGGAACCAGTGACTACAGTTAGGAATCAAATACAGCAGTCCCACTTAGAGAAAACAGGCCACCACATTAGGGTGAGGCATAAGAGAAAAGAAAGAGAGATTTCAGGGGTGGAACTGACAGTCTAGACAGTAACTGGAGAGAGGGGAGGCATGAGGTGATTGGCAATGTTAATTAACTGATAAGAAATACAGATAAAAGAGCATGGTTGGAGTAAGAGAAAATCGTGAGTTTAGTTTGAAATGTAGTGAGTGGTGTAGACAACTGAAAATTCAACTCTGGAGGATGTATAAGCAGTGGTGGACTACATGAAATTA